AAAGGACCAAAAATAATAATAAAAAAAAAAATAATATAGTCAGTTTAGAAACAAAAGGAAGATTAGAAAACCATGAGTGTTAAATAATATGTAAATGGACATTTGATACCGTAGCACAGAAAAACAATGAAAAATACATGCAAAAATGCCTTATTCCTACATATATTTGTTGGGGTTAAAACAAGGTATTGTTACTGCAGGCTATATACACTGCAATACAGCCAGCACAATACTGCATAAATCATTTATCTATTCCTGTTAAAATATACTGATACCAGAGTCTGCTTTCAGTTTCCCCCAATGTCTTTTTTTTTTTTTTTTTATGCCAGCCATGGGTACGGGTAACTTCCAGTCTGAATTCAGTAACTTTTYTCAGTAAACTACTGAATTTCAGTAACTTTGCTGAAAGGCTCTTTTTCTTCGGCAACTTTGCATCATTAGATAGGAAGACTTAGGAGAGGATGTTAAAGCTGGATCATGAAGTTACTGAGAAGGAAAACATTTTTATCAAAGTAATCAAGAAAGATAAAATAAAAGGATTGGAAGTTACGTTGCATGTGCAGAAATGCCCATCTGGGCAGATCAGCATCACAGTGCCACCAATATCCCACCAGAACGTGGGAAGCACCATCCTRCCTCTCCTGATGGATCCAATCCAGTACAGACATCCAGAAAATACAGTCACAGGAGCACAACTGATCACCATCAACAGACCCACAGTAAATGTGTTTACTTCCACCTCTGTTGCCAAGAAGCATCAATTTCAAACCAAATATAATGGGCCAGAAGAAGATATGCGGCCAAATAATCTGAGCAGTAGCTCTTAAATTGGCAGTTGGTCCAATATCTGATCACACTCTTGTAAACAGTATTTTAAGTGGCCCTGGTGCAGCAGCTGCAACCCGTCCTCTACATAATTGCCACCATTACAGAGCACTCACACATAAACTGAGTGCTCAGGAGCTCTTTTCCTCCCCACTCCCAAGGATGCCAGCTATCTCATATAAAAGTGCAATGTTTACATCAATGAGGATTTTCAGAGGAGATTTTGTGTTCAGAAGCAGAGAAATCTTGACGATGGTATACTCCTTTAGTACATGGAAATGAGCAATTGCTTAGCACATATAAAGCCAGGGCAAGGTGATCAAATTTGATGTTGTAAAGATTGTTTTATTATTAACAAACAACGAAATACCAGATTTACTAGGTATGCACCTTTTTAAGTCAAAAGAGCTGGAAGAGACTTTTCCCATATTGGCCCTTGTAAGCCTCTCTCCATGTACTTCACTGCCCTGGTTCCTAGTTGAGGCCTCAGGACACAACAGCAGCTTCAGCGCCACGTTGGCTTCGGCAGCCCTGACCCGAGAGCTGGGCCCGTGGCGGCCTCCCCCTTGGATCCCATCTTCCATCCCGCCGGCCCCGAGCCCCCGGCGGCTCCTCAAACACAGGGCTGCCCGACCACAGTCTTGCTCTGTGAATATTGCTCTGTGGGCTCCAAAAAAACCCTTGCCCAAAAAAACCCTCCCACAAATCCTTTGTCCCTCCTGCTTGTATTTCACARAATCACAGAATGGTTGAGGTTGGAAGGGACCTCTAGAAATCACCTAGTCCAACCGCCCTGCTCCAGCAGGGACACCCAGAGCATGGYGCACAGGGCGACATCCAGGTGGGTTTGCAAGATCTCCAGAGAAGGAGACTCCACAACCTCCCTGGGCAGCCTGTTCCAGGGAAAAGTTCTCCCTCATACGGAGATGGAACTACCATTGTTGCAACTTGTACCCATTGTCCCTTGTCCTATCGCTGGACACCACTGAGAAGAGCTTGGCCCCTTCCTCCCTACATTCCCCCTTTAGGTACTTATACATATTGATCAGATCCCCTCTCAGCCTTCTCTTCTCCAGGCATTTCCCCATTTCCTGGGGAGTTAATTCTGGATAACACACATCACCTGAATACCCATTTCCTTACCAATATCCCTGTTCCAACTTGAACTTTACCTTAAAACCTAGGCTGTAAAGAGCATTTTTTGGCCTCATAGCAGGCAGCTGCATTTCAGGTATCAATCCCATTAACTCAATCCTGGCTCTTCCAGGCTGTCATATTCATGTGACTCATCAAATCCAAATTTCAGATTGAGAGTTAAGTATTAGAACATAATGAAAGATAAGTCCCAGACAGTCCCAGAGACYGTCAAAGTGGTGTAGAAAAAATAAACAGAAAAAAAACCCAAGAAAYAAAGATCCAGTTAAGTCGCAAAATCAAGTTTAAGTTGCAAAATCTATCTTATCTGCTTGGTAGAAGAGAAGCCCTAAGTGTGGCTCTCACACAGACTAAGCTGAAGAGGCTCTTCCCCATTTCCAAAACTGAGGTGAAACCCCAACTGGTAGAAGTCTTACTACCATTCCTGGGCAAGAGCGAAGTAATTGCATTTAATAAAAAGTACTTGTTTAGAGAATTTTTCTTAAGTTAATAAATTATTCAGCTTTTATTCTCTTTTTCTTCATTCCTATTACATATTCCTCTCTTCTCCTATTATTATTATGTTTTTAGGCATTTTTACATTTTATATGTAAAATCTTACATTTTATTATAAAAATGTAAAATGTAAACATAAAACTTTTACATTTTACATGTAAAATATTTGTTGTTAAAACTACAGATTTATTATCAGTCCTCCATCTTGCATATGCAGTCAGTCTCTGTAATTGCTGTGGACAATAGTTCTCTTACTTTTTTTTTTTTTAAATATATCATTAGCAATGTGAAACCTCATTTGTAGAATGGCACATTCTTGATTTTATATAGATAAAAATGTTATGTTCTGTTCCTTCATTCCTATAATGCAATATTCAGTGTTGCAATAAATAAGGCCTTAGAAGCAATAAAAAAAAWATAAAACATATTGAAGATATGCTATAAAGATGGAACAAAAATAAAACTACTTGGTGTAAGCTTTTTGTGTGTAAACACCTTAATATATGTTGTAACTAGTCAGTTAATAATTGCTTTGTAAATCATTATAAATCTGAATTGATGCAGCAAGGGGATAAAACTAATAAGCAAGTCATAAAGTATGTTTGGAGTGATTATTATCAGTACAKGTTTGGAGTGATTATTGCTACTGGCAAGCAAGTTCAAAATCTTATAATAAAGAACCTGATTTTTATATTTTCTCCGGTGTTTACATTGGAAAATAAATGTAATCTTATCAATAAACAATTATGTCACACAAGATGTGTGTTTGTGCAGATTCTGAGTATTTAGGACAGTAAAACACCACAAATTTTAATTCTACTCTCTTGATACTACTCTTTCCCACATTCATTCAGAATAGATTTTCTCAGGCTCGATAAAATACATAATGGATATTAGAAATCMAGGGCACTTAGGAATAGACACCATTGTGACTACACAACATTAAGATGGGATAGGCTCTTTTTCAGAACAAAAGGACATAGAAAGCTACCTTTAAACAGGTACCTTCCATAGAGAATCTCACATACAGGTTAAATTTTGCAAAGTGGAAATAGGGTTATCCAAAGGAAAAGTACTGCCAATCTTTGTAAGCGGCTCTATTACCATTCACAGCTACAATATTATGTTTTTTTCAGGAACCTGTGATTTATTTAGCAATTTTTCTTCAGTGCTCTGGTTTGGCAGATCCTTGCCATTTACCTGCAGCCAAAATGCCATTCCACAATATGCTGCCAGGATTATCAGTGCGACCTGATTCTGTTCCTTACTGTATGTTCATCCCTGAATCAAAAATCACAAATCAAATGACTTCTCACCTCACTTCYCCATAWAAGAATATTTTATGCAATGTATTTTTATTTGTTTTCTTAAAATGGAAATATAATTAGGGCACGGAAGTTACTCCTGTTCTTAAAAATGTTTAATATGTAATATTTTAAAGACTGTATTTAAATATTGTACCTGTAGGGCATTCTTCTTACCTCCCCTTCTACACCTAGTAAGAGGTGTAGATTCTGTCATGTGAATACATATATTCTTTCTCTGAGCACTTTTGATCTTTGCTTCATATTACATACGATCAAAAGGTATTAATAGCCATTCCATCATTATTAAGAAATCTGATTTATTGCATTTGATTTGTTTACTACAGATAGAAATRAACTACTGTTTTGTATTGTTTTGTAGGAATGCAAATTCTGAACGTGTTCAGGATGCTCTACAGACTTAGGACCGACCTCAAACTGTAACTCATTTCCTTCTGTTACACAATACAAACTTTATTTACTATTTAGTRTACATATGTTTAAGTACTGAATAAATCTATAGTATAAAATATCATGGAATACTGAATAATTTTGGAGAAAAAAAGTTTTAGAGAGAAAATGGAAAGTATGGATTTAAGAAAAATCAATAGAGGTAAAGGTAAGCTAATTCATAAAGTGGTATGTTCAGTAAAATCAGAAATTAAGAGAATCTTATTCCATTTTATATTTCTTCTGTTTCAAAGCATTTTGAATGTTATTTAAGTTTCACAGCTTTAGAAAATATCTAAATACTTCCCTCTACATATGTACTTCCCTCATTAACTGAGTACTGCTAACAGGACTAACTGCATAAACTGGAAYGGTCAGTTTAGAAAAATGGTGACGAGAAATTGTTTGGTTGCGMTGTTGTCCTCACATAAAATTCATTAACTTATTTAGTTAGATATTTATACACATTACTTGCATGCTCTAATGCTTTTACAAATCTAAAAATTCAAAAATCTTGGATGTGTATTCCCACAGTAATGACAAAGGTTTGCAAATAGAAAAATAAGTAAATCAACTCTTCCAAAAACCTAGAAAAGAAAGCAATGACAAAAAGAATGAGAAAAAATGTGGAAGATATCACTGTGACAACAGATGACTGTTCAGCATTTCCCTGAGATAAATCTCAAACACAGTAAATTATTTTGCATGAGCTATACAGGTGTGTAAAGAAAAGAGAAGCGCACACAGAGAAGGATGCTATAAGCTACTTACAGGAACGAGGAATTTTTTTATTTCTTCCAAGGCATGACTCATACGAGAATACGCTTCCCCAGGTGGAGCAAATACTTCAATTAATACATGAAGCTCGTCACTCAAGTGTGCATATTTGGCTTCTCCACTTTTCCTTAGTTCTTCTTCCTATGAAAAAAAAAATTCTTAGAAACAAAGATCTACTAATTCTATATTGATTTGGCATTTTCACAAAACATGACGAAAGGACATAATATAAGAAGACTTTTAAATCCCTTGAAAAATAAATCCAGCACCAGCCACTTAAAGATTTAAAATAATTTTGAGTGCTTGAATGATAAATCCTGCATAATTATCATCTACAAGAGATTTTAATCAGCACAGTGGAAAATGCTAAATACTCCAGAAATGAGTAGTGAAAGATTAACTCCATAATGTGAGAACTGTATAAAGCTGATTCAATCATAGCTGTTCACAAAAAAATAAAATAAACAGTAGCTCACTTTGGGGCATTTTAGCATACAATACTGTTTCTAAGTTCAAATGAATTGTTTAATGAATACCTTCGGGCTGTACATTTTAGTTCATTTTAAAACATGCCCTTAGACTTCTACTGGAGTCCTGAGGTCAGAATTTCTTTACCAGTTTGGGTACAGGTTACCTATGCAAACTTGTGTACTCCATTTAAGACASTGATTTACCTCACCTAGCTTTATCATACTGTCTTTGTGTCCCAATTTTCTATCTATATCATAAGCCTAATCATCCTACTTCACATCAAAGGAATGTTCTGAAACTTCCATCTGCTTTTTCTACAAGGCTCTGAGATGGTGAATGTAAATTGTAGTATATAGTCATAGTAGTTACACCTGCATAAAAAGCAAGGATATAAAGCAGTGATCATGYTAATGCTATTGGCTATAGCAACATAATGCAAATTTTATGTCAGTGTTATATAACAGCAATGAGAAATGCTGGAAGTAATGCTGATTTGAAAATTCTATTGTCAGAAATATTTTTAGAAATGCAATTTTTAAGAAAATATACATATATATGTCCTCATTTGATAAGCTGAAAACATAATTTCAGAGAAAGAAACAAACTCATTAGTTTAAAACTGGCTAAGAAGTTATAGCTTCTTAGTTCATACTACAATAATTCTTTATCAACATTTTGATATCTAAGACACCAAAATCATAACTCATGATAATTTTTAGTAACTTAGAACAATTACACATTAACTTACTTTACATTGTTTTAGCCTTGCCTGACTTAGACCATTGCTTAACATCAAAAGTATCTGCAGTGCCATGCTTAAACCAATATGCACATAGTTCTTTTTAACTACAGTAAACATACAGTCTTTCTGATTTTYCAAAGAAAATACAACAGTAACATGCTCTAGCTCCAAAATCCTTGATCTTACTCCACATTAAGACATAATTTTAGAGATTATGATAAAAATCATAATTCAATCATTGTGATGCAAAAATTTCAGTTTAAATGTTGAAAATACAGAATTCAGGTTTTAGAATAATTTGATATCTGGTGTTTGAATGGAATTAAATTTTATAATTGTAAATTTTCAACTCAGTAAYTTCTCCAAATTTCTTTCATACTGCTTCATACTGTATATTTCCTAAAATAAACACTAAAAAGTGTCCAAAAAGTCCAAAATTGTCTTTTAGGACAAAACTACCAAGAAATGTGGCAAGAAATATAAATTGACCTTTCTTACAAATATAGAAAAAGTAAAAATAATATTTATCTTCCTATTTTAATGAGTAACAGTAACACTTTAACAATATATACCTCTGTCTCAGAAAGCCAGCTTGTAAGGTGATAACAGTGGTTACAAGGTTTCCCCTTTATTCTCTCAGCAAGCACAAGAATTCCTAAATCCATCATTTTATAACTTTCTTCCTAGGTTTGGAACATGCCTTTTCTATGATTATTCTATTTCTGTTTCTACAGTTAGAAATAGCAGCGTAGGGCAGTAAGATTCTTGACATTCTTTGTGGAGGCACCTAAAGACTGGTGGACACCCTGGAGCACATAGAGTTAAAGGACTTGACATCCACACGATGTATATTTACCATTCTAGCACTGTATATATGTAGCATTTCAGGGGTGTTTACTTCCTGCTGACTCCTAGGACCTGGCCAGAGTTGATTTATACAGCAAATGAAACAGAATCTCTGGGCTTCTGGATCAGCAACAGCAATTTCCTTTAGCACTTACCCTCTGGTTCCCCTGTTTCTTGCCATGGGATGATGCTGTTTAACTGCACTCCAGGTACAGCCCAGCACCAGAAACCCACACCACCCTCTAGAGAGCAATTACCCCGAGTCCTCATCCTCATACACTCCCTCCTGCATGCCAGTTCACTTCAAACTTCAAAGCAAACAGCATTATATGCTATAACCTCAGCCTGCAYTAGACTGCCTTTATCCTCACCTATCGCCCTCAAATTTGTCAAGCAATATTGTAGTTCACCTGCCCTTAACCTGATGCTGGTGTCCTTAGTCCACTTGCTCATAAAAAACAAGAGATATTTTTAAACACCTGTGTTTTATAATTTCCAGTTCAATAAAGCAGGGCAAATATAACTAATTGTAGAGGAGGGAGGGCAAATAATTAATGAAGAGAATTAATTGTAAATCTGAGGAGTACTGACCTCTGCAAAAGTGAAGTGCATGAGGGATACAAACMCAACGGGCAAGAAAGAGGATGAATCATCTGTGCATGAGAAAGCAGTCTTATAAATTTAAAAGGATGTGTCCTGAGTAATTTCTGACTAGACCTAGACCAAAATACTCCAATAAAACTACTGGAAGGAACTTGACAGAATAAATGGAATTTGCACAGCAAACAAAATTACACAGTCCAGGCTGATGAAGAGAAAGTATCCTGATAAAATGGAAATGACAGAAAATTCAAGAGTAACCTAAGAGAGATCTGAAGCAGGATTTGTGTGGCGAGGTAGTTCCTGAATACAGCACATGAAGCTCCCACTGTTGTAACAAATACAGCAATAAAAAGCAACAACGGGTATTTGAAGAACACTACCAGACCTGTAGTAGGTTTCGTATCTTGCAAGATATGAGAATATAAGAATTTCCAAATAGAAGAATAGTGCACAGCACAGACAAAGGTGATAATCACAGTGCTGTTGCTCCAGAGGTATTCTTCATAGGATCAATGGGCAATGCTACAGCAGAAAATTAATGAGCATGCAGTTTGACAAATGCAAAACTATTGATTTTTAATCTGAACACAAATGTAAAACACAGGATGATGTCTGTAACACTGACACTAGTAAAAACAGTGAGTGAACTAAATGCAAGATAGGAATACTTGATAGGAAGCAGAACAGAACAGATATGAATTATCATTGGTGACTATTTTGGGGTTAAAAAGCTATTAGGTTCTAGGTCTTATCAGGAAACAATATTCACTGGAGAGAACAAAAATCATAATCTGAGGAATGACCTGAGCACCTATGAGAGAGTAGTTCTCAGTGAAATATAGAATAAAATTAGAAGAGCTTAGGCATCCCTCGATTCTTGCTTTTTTTTTTTTTTTTTTTTTTTTTTCCTTTGCTCAGTATTTGAGAACTCACACTGCAGAGCTAGAAGAAAGGGTATCCATTTACCACACTTGCAGTCAGATAGAGACAAAATGTAACTAAATATAAGTATGTAAACCAGAACACTGCTTATCAAAGAGTAATTTTGTGGGGATACAGATGTCAACAGTTGTTTTTCTAGACTTGGTGAGTCGCTAAAGCTCTAGTTGTTACTTGGGTCAAACGGAGCAGAGACTTGGGTACATTCAGCACTGCCTTCTGCAATACGGTCTCTACTACTATTTATCTCCTGATATAATTCATAATGAAATGCAACAACATTTTAGTGGCAAAGAGGTATTAAGTGGTTCCTAGATTATATTTTTGTTCAGGCAGGTGAGAAAGAAGACAAAGAGAGATCAGTAGCAGAATATGGACATAATATGATCACTTAATAGCTATTGGAAGAGCCCAAACAGCTGGAATGAATGTTAAATGAGYAAAAAATACAAATTCAATTCAAAGGAAATAAAATGTCTTGGAGAAAGGTTGACATATTAAAGGGACAGATTGTTCCAAAATTCAAGCTCCAACCAATGACTATAACCAACTAGTAATCCATGCACAAATTACCTGTTAGAACAAGAGCTGTTAGTGCAAAGACAAAGTTCAAACCTATTGTGTTATGTATTCAGTGAGTATAATATATGAGTATCGATAAAAAGTTTGAAAAACTTAYGCATTAAAGATCCTTAAGAAATGTGCAATTACAATACCTAAACATGCTTCTTACACAGATTATTTTCACCTTAAAAGCTGTAGCCTAATCTGGACAGCACTGTACTCAGGGAGCGTTCAGTGCCAGGAAGAAGACTTGGCCTTAATTCATGTGAGTGCAAAATGTCATATTGTGATTTATGAGAGGCTAATTACCAATTTGTTGCATCCAAGTTGCAAAATAGGTTGTCTGAACTCCCGCCAAGCTGTTACACTCTTATTTTGGGCAAAAGGAAAACATATTATATGCTGAGCCTAAAATTACTATTTTGTCTAAATAAAATCTTTAAAGTCTCATCAAAGAATTATGAGTAACCTGGCCCAACCATGTTAAATCTTGTAGTTCAAACTGCATATGAAGGTGAACCAGCATCRACATATTATTTTTGTGTGTGTGTCTGTCCCTTTCTGGTGTTTGCTGCGTTCACCTCCGCACTGCCCTCTGGGGCACTGACGTTTATGGCTTTGGTCTGGGCGAGGGGGATGAGTCTGGTGGTGGTGCCTGGAGACCTTTGCTGCAAGAAGTGTACAAGAAGATATTGATAATTTCTTCCTCTCTCTAAGAAGCAATTAGGGTAATTTTTAGACACACTAAAAAGCTTTTCAAATCTATGTCACATAACATGCACTGTATATGTTTAGTTTTATATACACTGGATACCTGTTGTCTTTATTACCCTCAAAATGGGCTGGTTTGAGGCCCCAAAGTTGCATTACTTTAGTCACCAGCAGGTGGCCTTGGTGAGTTGTTTCTTGTCCTGCTTATTGCTCTTCCAGTTCATCCTGGGTCTCTGCTTTCAAGGCCTCTGCTGTCTTCCCATGC